TTAAGTACAGATAGGACATTCATTGCTAACAAAATATTATTTGGGTATTTTATTGCTAACAAAATATTATTTAGGTATTCTCACCACATTTTAATTTGTTAATTCCTAGTTTTGTTTTAAATTGCAGCATGAGAATTACCACGGAACTTATTTTTCTAGGAAAGAAAGTATTACTTAATAATATTTTAGTTTCTCTGCATGATCTCTCAAAGTCCCTCAGAAATATTAAAATATATACATTTTAGACTTTCTCGAACTCATCCTTGACACAGAGAGAAAAATTAAATGGATCATGGCTTTGAGTTACAAATGCAGTTTGCATAAGACTTCTCACCATGTTTTCCTAGAGCTTTACAGATGCATTTTGTTAGTCTTATGGGGGTAATCAAAACACAGAAATTCTTAATAACAAATGTAAACCCTGTTTTAATTCCCCAGAAGAAACTGATGTGAGTGGACTAGCAACATCTAATCGTGGTTTGCCACATCCATCAAGGACAGGCGACTTAGGTACAGTGAGGTAAGGACGTTGCACTTGCACTGGGAAATGGTCATGTGTTAAAAATATAGTGGAGGATATGCAATTGGTTTTCAGTATCTATGGGGTTTTTTATAAATATACTGTGGTTTCAGAAGTGGTTAACTACTGCTTTTTGCACCCATGCCTACTAGTTGTAGGAGAGGAATAAAATCTTTAAGATCCCCTTTGATACATCAAGGTCGTTATAATGTATTTGCAGTGAAGTAGCTGTTCATGAAAAAATTACGTAAAATAACAAACCTGAGTTTTTTCTTCTGTTCACTTGTATCCTGTGACTTCAGATTTGTGGGATAAGATAGCGTCTGTGAGACTAGATGGGGGAGGAACTAGGAGTTATTGTACTGCCAGTTGCTCTGTCACTCAGAATGTGAACTGTTGCTACTCTCTGACCCATGAGCGTGTCCTTTCTGCTCAAGGATGGGTGTCCATGTTGTGTAAGATTTCATGTAGAACTCCCTGGCTTTACTTTGCTTTGAACTTGCTCTGCATTCCCTAACCATCTTTATTGCTGAAGTATAAGGCTATTTGTTCAGTTTAAGTCTGAAAGTGTAGTTCCTTATGCTGTTGCTATTCCTTTGCATGCATTTATACTCTCTGTCATGCCAGGAACAAAATTCTGGTGAAATATGAACAAATGAGATCAGTATTTTGCAAAATTAGGAGCATGTGTTTTGTCTTCATGCAACATAACTTTCAGTACAGATTAATTGGAATAGAAATCCTTTTTCGATAGAAATATTGTAATAGTTTTCTAAAACCCCCCCAAATAATTACTGGAAATGTATTTAGAGGTATTACAGTCTAGTGACACAAGAGCTATGTAAGAATGTTTAGCAGGAGATTGGTTCTTCTGGAAAAATTTTCCTCTTCAAAGTGAAGCTCAAGCAGGATAAAATGAATACTGTATCTGTACGTCCATCACTGCTGCTCTTTCATACCTGAACATTCTCATTCCACCTGTATTGTGACTGTGGCGATGGTTTTTTCTTGCTTCATGTTCAAAGAGCTGTTGTTATCATAATGATCATTCCTTGTGGAGGACTAGTGAGTTACCTGACAAGCAGCCTACATGTTTACTCTAAAAGCAAATCAGAGACTCAGGAAGTTATATTTTACCAATTTTATTATTGGCAAGGTTTTACTGCTCCCTGGTGCACCTGAAAAATAATCTTTTTTTCTAAAGACTCAGCTTCCTTCTTCACTCATTTTATGTTGAAAGTCTAGAGCCAGGAAGTATGATAGTCACAATAATTGTATGCCACATTTCTTCTCTCAAATTGGTTCCAGAAAAAATCATAATAGTGCTGTAGATGCCCACATATGGGGTGATATCCTTTATGCCTTTTCATTCTGTGGTGGGGAGGTTTCCAACAAATCCACCAATAACTTCCATGTTACCTCCATGAACTCCACACTATGGTTTCAATCATTTATTCCCAACACCTGGAGGTTCCTATATCCAGTGATGGTCTCTAGGGCCTCTGGCTCTTTGCAGTGATTTTTCTTTTTTTTATTGAGGCAAATGAAACAGCCTTATTGTTTTTACTTTTAGCAGGTCTGGGGTTTTTTTTCTTAGAATGATATTTTACTTATAAAACTGCATGTAAACTTTTTTTATTGAGATTTTTTGTTACCCAAGCAATTACTTTGACAGTCTGCCATTCACTTCTTAGTTAACCATATATTAATAATTCTAACTGTATGTTTTTATAGGAATACAGAGATCTCAGAAAGCTGTATTTTTAATGTTGATCACTTTAGTGCTGCAAAATCACACAACCAACCTTCTCTCTCCCCGATCCTGGCTATTGCTACGATCCTTTCTGAAACATCTCTGAGGATAGGTAGAGTTATTTGGGAAATGCTTGGCTTAATCTAGGTAATGAATTCATATTTTTAGTGCTGTAAACATACATTGCTTCAAGCTTCACAGCCACAGTCTTGATTCACCACTCACTGCATCGATGCCTGTCTGAATTAAAATGTTTGTGAAGCAGCTGAAGAACTTAGATCCCTGAGATTAAAATTCCTGGGAGGAGGAGGTAGAAAGGATGTTTGAAGGATAAAGGGAAGATGTTGCAGAGAGAAAGTGCTCTGGATTGAATATGATAATCTGGAGACAATATTCAGCACCAGAAGTCCCTAATCATTATGAGAAGCTGGGGGGCAGTAGTCAGTGTCCCAAGCATATAATACTTATTTCTGAAATAACTTCAAATCTTTTTAATGTTCTCAGAACTGTGATGCTTGCAAAAACCAGATTTGTGGATAAGGCCCAACGTCTGAAGCAGAAAGCAGCTGCTGGTCCCTCAGTTAATACAACTTCAGAAGAAACTGAGAAAACATCTGAAGCAGACAAAACAGCCACCATAAATGGTAAGTTATGAATGGAATTATGGACTAGAGTTGAAAAGGTAGATATGGAATTTTTGTTTTCTTCCTTTTCTTAAATTCCATGTTATTATTATTTTAAAGAATTCAAGGTTAAAACAAAGGAGTAAGAGTTATGGCACCTGTGCTTTAGTCCTGCTCTGCCCATAAGCATTCTGTGTTTCTTCAGCAGCTAATAAAAATTTCTTTGTCAGTTTCCTTAGCTAGTAGTGTGAAACGGGGATGATGATGTCCTTTTCTACCACTTGGAGTGTTCCAGGGGTGATATTTGCAAGGGACTTGGGTGAACAATGATGTAAAACAGTTAAAGAGCAATATTGGAGCTAAACCAACTATTCCAACTGCAAAATTGTCAAGGAGTTGTTCCATATCACTTGCATTGCTTTTTCCACTAGAGGCCGGGTTCTGATCTATGGTTTACAGTCCATTTTTACTTCCAGTGCTTGTTCCTTATGTTAAATGAGAAACCACAGCCCCACTGAGTGCTATTTTGCACTCTCATCTGTAGCCCACAATTGAGTAAGGCTCTATCAAGGAAAGGAGGAGATGGTAACCATGGCAACAGTGGATGCTAGAGCATATATTAACTTCTCCATGTTAAGCAGCATGCTTGCCTGGCCAAAAAACTAGCACGTCATCACAGAGTTGCAGTACACATTGCTCCCAGGACATGTTCTGAAAGTGCACTTGCTCATCAATAAACATCACCAGGCATGAATGATAACGTTCAGTTCCAGTATCGTTCTATCAAAGTGAGTCAATAGTGTCAACCAAATCTTTACTTGACAACTGTTTTCTGTTGCTGTCCACTGTGGCAGAGTTTGGTGCTCCTTCTTTTATGGAGAGACCTTTTGAAGAGTAGTAAAGAATCCAGTAAAGTAAAACAGGGTGTGCAGAGGAACAGGCAGCCGTTCTGGAGCCCTCCTGGGTGCATGCAGATGGTGGTGGGCAGCTCTGGTTGCAGCACAGCACAGGGGTACGTTTGAAGAGCTTCACCCTGAACCACATGGGCTCTGTTCACCTTGTGGCTCTGGTTTGGCCTTTCTTTCCCATGACTCTGGAGACCCGTGACTTACACCATCTGTTCTACACAATTATCTCTCAAACTTCCACACGCTGTTTCTTTCAAAATTAAGGCAGTTGGATTTTTCATTTAGGAGCTTTTGGTGAACAGTTAGGCACTTTGTAGGGAGTTCTCTACGTGGGTTATTGTTTTGTTTATGTTCAGGGGGACTGTTTTTTCCTTGGTGTCATTAACATAAGGACTGTTAAATTTGTCCATAAAACACTCTGCCTTTCCTTTTATTATCGGAAAAATAACAAACCAGGATGAGCAGCAGTAATAGTTCTGCAGTTGTTCTTTTAAGTTGCTGTGTTTACTTGCTACGTTTTTTGTCAAACTTAAGCTACTTGTGCTGAAATGCTGTGCTTGAGTAGTTAGCTGACAGGACAGAGCATCTGCAGCTAGGATTTAAATACCTGAGCCTGGGACTGACTCTGCTTTTACTGGTTGGGTAAAGACTGGATCTGGCCTAAAGGAATTTTGGGAACAATTACTCAGCATTTAAGACAGTGACAAATACGAGTTTATCTTCACTGTATCCTTGTGAGGTAAAGGAATGACAATATTCCTGTTTTGTAGTTGTGAACTTATAAAATACAGGTTTCTGGAAACAATAGAATACATATCACAAGGAGTACCATATATGTGTCCTAATGTATATATGCAAGGGAAGAATAGTAAGGTGGAAAAGATAAAATTAATTTTGGTAATTCCATGAACTTCTAATACTTACAGTTGCAAAGTTACCTTTCTTGTAAAGTAGGGATTTTACATGTGCAATAGAATTTTTACCATATTAAAATACCAGCCTAAGTTGGAGTTCAAGTGTATAATCGACATCTTTTTCTAAGGACGATACTGAATTATGCCACCTACTGCCATAAATTTTCAATTATTTATTTGATTAATTGCAACAAAATCTTTCTTCCTTGCTACTCAGTCCAACCCTGCCTTCCTTCAACAGGTAGAAAAGGTTCTGATCCCAAAAGAAACATTAATTCTGTTATGGCAAAGAAACCTTGCATTGCTTCACTGCAGTTGGATCTCATGCCTCTTCTCTCAGGTATGTAAACCTGTTAGGAAGGGACAGGGAAGGAGCAGCATGCTAGGTGTGCTCCATGTCTCCTCTGGTGGGTCTGCCTCCTGGAAACTGTCTTGAAAGATCCAGAACATGAAATTCCCTAGAGATCAAAGCCATCTGGTTAAGAAAGATTTGGGATTTGGTTTTGATCTGGAGATTGGCATATGTTCAGAGGTCTGTGTGCTCTGAAGGGCAGGATGTCAAAAATAACTCTGCATCGTAGTTCTCCATCAGCACTTACATCTAAGTTCTTGTATCCTGTTTGATTTAGAATGTGTTGAAAGTGGGATATTGGTCATGGTGGAGTGAGTTATTTCTGTGGTTTTCTGACTGTAACCAGACTAACATTCATTATTAATATTTGTTGTCCTATTTTTGTGTGTAGGGAGTTAAATCTCCTGTTTGTTTCGTGCACGCAGACAGAAATGTCCTGTGGCGTGGAACTCCGGGGCTGAGTGTATGGGTGTGGCAAAGCTGCTTGCAGAGAAGCCAGTTTGCTGAAAGGTGCTTGTTTACCTTTAACGAAGCATTTAATTGTGATGACAACTCTCTATAAACTGCTTTAAATTTTGTGCTTATGCAAACTGTCTGCTTGCAGCTTCAAAAAGAAATAACCTCTGTGTGTGTTCAGCAGTTAGCCTAGGTGCGAGTTCTGGCGCTGCTTTTGGGGCCTGTTTTCTTACTACTGCAAAAGATAAAGCAGTTAAAACAATACCTTTGTTTTAATTTAATACAAATTCAGTGGAGGTTTGTAATTAATTGTGTAATATACGGTTACCCTGATGGGACTGCTTTTGTAACAGTATTTAATCTTGTGTGCTTAAAAAGGAGAAAAATCAGTGATCAGTCATCTGGCAGAAAAAAACCCTCAAGTTTTAGATGTTTATGTGACTTTCACTGTGGAAACCCCTCTTCTGTCTGAAAGACAAAGACACGAGTTGAATCCACTGACTATAAGGATTAAGTCAGCTACCTGCCTCCCAAACACACCTGTACCGATAGAAGTGCTGCAGGTAACACATGCTGCTGCTTCTTTCTGAAAGAATTTCCTTGTTAGCCTCAAGTAGCTTTGCTTAAAATATGGGCGTGGTTTTAAAGATAACTTACCTTATTAGTAGCAAAGTTGGAGAATATGACTAACACATTCCCTGAAACACATGCTGGCCAGATTAGTGCCTACAGATCATAGCCACTGGTAGCAAAACAGCAATCCTTGTGTTTGCCAAGGGCAATATTTTACATATAGTCATCCCATTTTGATTTCTGAGCAGTGGATCTTGAGTAAACCAGAGAAGATCTACTTCAGTCACAGCACTGTGTTGTTTGAAACAATTTGCTGACAAGTTAGTGTGTGTTGACTTGCTTGTTAGAACTTCTACTGCTGTGTTAAAAATATTATTTAACTTAAAAATAAAGCAAATGTTTCTCATCTTAAAAAAATGCTGTGCACAAAAAAAGTTCTATATTAGTGATAATATAAAGTTTTTTGATCTTATATTTGTACATTTTGAGACATGAGTTAGAAAATACGTTTTCAAGTGATTACATTACTAGGCTTAAAGAATGCTACTTTTAAAAGGCTCTTTTCTAAGTATTATATATTGTTGATGTGAAAGTGAAACTGAAGTCAAAGACCTTTGATAGTAGGAGCTATTTTGTTGATCCCCATCTGAGGTGGAACTATAAGGGAACAGTACATGAAAGATCTGGTTCCAGTTGCATCAGCTTGGTCCTTAACATTGGTAGGGTATTTTGTTACTGGTTTTGTGAAAGCAGTTTAAGAACATGGTATCAGGAACTTTATAATGGCACCTAAAGTTCCCTGGTGGGGTTTTACACATGACAGCCTAGGCAAATTTGGAGAGAAACAGGGAAAAAGGGTCAGTAACAGCACAACGTAATAAATAATGGAGACAAACCCACTCTGGAGTTTCTAATGCAATTTGCATTAGAAATTAGAGTGGTCACAGGAGTTTTGACTGTGTTTGCCTTGCCAAGTGGGGGTATTGTATGAAATAATGGACTGTTTGAAATTTGCAGTTGTCAGGATACTCCTTGACAGGTGGCCTCCCCTCCATGCAGGCTGCTGTCATGCTGGTGGATGCTTACATGGAGGAACCACAACGATTGTGGAATGAATCCCCCTATTTGCTTCCCCAGATTTGTTAAAAAAAAGGCTGATAATCATAGAATCCCAGACTGGTTTGGGTGGGAAGGGACCTTAAAGCTCATCCAGTCCCAACCCCCCTGCCATCAGCAGGGACACCTTCCACTAGACCAGGTTGCTCAAAGCCTCATCCAACCTGGCCTTCAACACTTCCAGGGAGGAGCAGCCACAGCTTCTCTGGGCAACCTGTTCCAGTGTCTCACCACCCTCACAGTGAGGAATTTCCTCCTAATATCTAATCTTCCAGTTTAATGGAGATCATACAGTCCATTCCCTACAGTATCTCTGGGTACTTGTTGAATTTCCTAACTTCTAGCTATTGGCATTTATTTTAGGTCTCAGATCCTACAGGTGAGTGCATAGGGATAAACAAAAAAGGTGCAGGAGCCGCTGCAGTCTCCAGCATGCTCCTTTAATGACCTAGAAACAATGAGAGTTTTTCTGATGTGTTTGGAAAGTCAACAAAGTTGAGGAGGGGCAAATGAAGGGGACAGTATAGTCCCAAACCCAGGATCCAGGCCTGTAGAATGGCCTCTCTGCAGCCTTGGAAGACCATAATTTGTGCTATGGAGTACAACCCACGTACCTTATTTACTAGAAAAGTAATTTGTTCTGTGAGGTTAAAAGTAAAAAAGAAAAAGGTTAATGCTGCAAATATGTTTCTCCTCATCTTTTTGTTCTTTAGAGATTGTGTGTTCCCACCTACTGCAAATACAAATTTCATGATTTTCCACCTCATCGAACTCATGGACAATTCCATGGAACTCATGTCTACTTTAAGGATGTTAATGTGCTTCTCACGGGGATGATGAAACCTGGGGAATTAGAGAGGTGTCTTAGAGGTCCACCTTTGGAGATTGAAGTTCATGACCGGGATAGAAACATGGAAAGCAATACAAAAAAGCCCTTCCCATCTTTGTTTGGGGAAGATGAAGCAGATGAAAAAGTGGGCAAGGTGAGCTTCCTTTCTTGCAAATCCACAATCCATAATCCTTTTACAGCAACCAAAGTGTGGCATCCGCATGGGATAGCTAAAGTCAGTCTGACTGATTTATTGTTGGGTAAAAAGCACTTGACTATCAGTGCTCCCATTCGCAGCTGCTCAGTGCCAAAGACAGCTGCTTTTGGTGAGGAGGATAAAAATAAGAAGATGACAGAATCAAGGAGTAACTCTTCCCAGCTACCTATGGGACATTATTTAGAATCAGACTCAGTTTTGAAAGTAACGGTGGATATAGCTGTGCCGTTGGGAATGCACGCAGGAATTGCTGATGCTCAAGTCACAAATTGTCCATATGGTTATATAATCTACATTTTTGACTACAAAAATTCATCTTTATTACATGATTTGGTGGAAGAGATTACAGAAATCAATGTTCAAGGCCTCCAGCTGGACTGCTCTCCTGTACACTTAATTGGAATGGCTCTTGCTGCATTAAAACTGAAAACTACACTGGAGAAAGTTTCTGAGTTGGATATTGTTACTGGTTTTCACTTGCTGGATGGAGCAACTCATCTTTTTGTCTTGGAGGGATTAAAAGACAAAGCAATCAAGAGACTATGGGATAGACACTTTGAAAGGTAAGAGAGTTTGAGGGTTTCCATCAGTTATTTCCTTAGATTCAGAGATTTTAATGTGATTTATACCTCCCCTATCCCTTTCTATACAAAGATACATGGGCAAGTACATAGCTGATCCATTTTATGTCGTTTTAGTGGGTATGAATCCCTCGTGGCTGGTTCACTTGGAGTATAATCTTCTCATCTTTATCATGTTACACCATCGATCATCCATGTAAAGTTAAAAATGAGAAGGCTGGCAGCATGTACTTGTTTTTGTTAAGCTGCTACTTGGTTTGTGGAAACAACAAACACTATAAACTACCAATTTTAATTAGTAACAAAAAGTACTTAGTGGGACCTAAACCAAAAATAGCTGCCATGAGGCAGCTGGACTTCAAGTTATTTCTACCGTTGAGTTCAGGGGAAAAGGTGACAAATTCAAAGTGAATCTCCCTCAAATTTCATGCTTAAAAAAATAATTGATATTTTGCCCAGCACTGTAGCGTGTTGTTAAAGCTCCTGGAGTGGTTTGTTTTTTGGTTGGTTGATTTTTGATGCAAGTCACTTCATTGCAGTTATTGAGATTATTTATTGCATGAAAAGTTGTCTTTTGTCCGTGCTCAACTGTAATTTAAATTGAAGCTTTGTTTTACTGCTGAAATATGAAATATTTTGGTATTTGTAGTGGAAATATTTGTATAATGCTTTTGTAGCTGTTGATCAGGCTGGTAAGGGGCACAACACTGATGAAACTGAGGTGAGCTTCCTTTCAAATGTTTGCCATGGCTTAACTGAGTTGCAGATGTTTTCTTTTTATGTCATGACAGTTTTGAATTTTCTTTTTAATTTTGTCCAAAATAATTGTTTTCGGAACAGTTCATGTGAATTGAAGGCTGTAGAGTAAGAGGTTCCATCTAAAGGACAAAAGCGGAGCAGTTTCATTAGAGAGAGTAATTTGTGCTGCAGAACTGAGGAAACCTGAGATACAGGCTGATTGTTTTAACCTTGGCATTGGGGTACTTTGTTACAGGACGCACAGACATGAAGATGGACAACTGGAAATACTGTATAACTCACAAGTGTCTTTCCACCAACGCCTGTACACAGACCTGGAAGCTATCTTTTATCATTTCCGCCTCTGTCAGCCCCTCTTCACTATAATGAAACAGCCTCTGCTCTATGTCAGAGGTACAGTCCCTCAGGCATGTTTCCAAGCCTTGTCCAGGTAAGACTCATCTAGGTTCATAGTCAAGAAATTAAGAAAGGAAATGGCAGCAAAATAGAGTGAATATTTGACACAAAAAAAAATAATACTCTTGGATATCTTTTCCCTGATGAAAGCAGGCTGTGGGCCTGGTGGGTAATTCAGATTTTAGCTCAGGTGTGGGAAGACAGAAGAACATGGTTTTCTACCTGCTGATGGAGGGGTAACTGGATATCAGTGAGCCCACTTTAGTTTGGGCAAGAGTTTATAATTTGTAAAGAGAAGAGAGGTGTATCAATAGGACAGTATATCAGAAACTATCTGAATATAATACAGATCCAAGAAGGAGAAAATTCTGGTATCAGAGGCATCAACTGCGAAGGATTTCCTTCTCTGCTCTGTTCTCATAGAGATGGAGTAAAGGAGGAGGCCAAATAGGACTTGATAGATCCAGAAAGTCACTTGAACTAAGTGGGGAATTCTAGAAACAGTTTTCCTAAGGTAACTAGAGAAAGGAGGGTTGGGAGAATATGTCTCCTGTTCCTGGCTTTTTGTTTTGGGGTTTTGTTGCATGATTTATCGCTGGATCTCTGCCAGCTTGCTCGTTTTGTCAGCCTGCAGGATACACAGCTAGTTGCCTTAAAGCATCTCTGACATGTTGTAAGGTGGCTTAAATAAAAAGAAAATGGGTGAAGTCTTAAGTGCAGACATTTTTATATATTTTACTAATACATGAAAAAATTTCTATGTGTGGTTTTATTGTTTGTTTATTTGTAAATTAAGACACATCTATTGAGAGGTGGAAAAAGGTACCATCCATCTTTGCTACCAGCAGGTTGGGCGTAGGAAGCAGAGATGAACTGTGATTTCTTCCTTTGTTGCTAGAATTAGACTGGCTTGTTTAGATTAACTACTGAACTGAAATCCTGCGAAGCTTATTTGAAATGCGTGGAGACATTTAGTCCTGAGACAAGAAAAAGTGAATGTCTCCTAGACATCAGTCGGATTTCCTTTAAAATTTCTTGTTCATGTGCAGTAGTACACACACAGTCTGGTAGCAGCCTTCCCCCTTGCCCTCCCCCATACTTGCTTTTGGTAAAACATATTCAATAATGTATATTACGTATGGATTACTCGTCTACTACAAGTTTAATCCTGCTTATGTCAAGGCAGTTGCTGAAAAATGAATGCAGTACATCTCTGATCTGGCCAGGCTGGTTTATCCCTGTCTGTTTTCCCTTGTTGGCTGACCCATTCAAATTCAAGAACTGTTTCTTTGCTGATGACTAATGAAACTTAACTTCATTAAGCTAATGAAGAGCCAGGCCTCATACTACTGATCTGGATGTAGCTTGGGTACCTTTTCACATGTCTATATTTTGTTTCATGTTTATTCTATGATTCTATGGTGAGGAAATAACACAATATGAAGGTGACTTGTAGCCATCACTGTGATGTCCTTAAAAGTCCTTTTTTTTATTATTACTTTTTCTTTGACGATGGTTGGTAAATAACTTTTTTCTTTAAGCTATGTATTGGCAATATTTGAGGTAGAAAATAACACAGTACTGCATGTCTTAGATACTTGGTAGTTGATTTCCTTGTGAAATTTTATTGTAGTATCTCCTGTTGAAAAAGAGAAAATTAAATCAGCAGGTTGGCTGCTGTGCACAACTTGCTAGACAGCTGCAGCTCAGCTTCCTGCCGTGAAAATGAAGGTTTCTGGGTGGCTGGGATAATTTTAAATGCAGGTGATTGTTTTTTCCACTAGAGAGAAGTGAAACCTGCAGGAATTATTACTGTGCTTCAGTAGTACTCACTGCGATAAAATCAGAGAGAACCACAGTTAGAAACATCTTTAGTGGCTGAGACAATGTCCCTCTAGACACCAGCCCTGTTCAGCAGCCCACCATCTCAGATGAGGGAGAGGTGAGCACCAGGCTTTGGGCAGGAATCCTTTTTGCCATACCCTCATTCTGCTCTGTCTGTGATTAATCAGAGAAACACCAAAGCATTCATCACGGGAGAACACAGCCTGAGAGCTGGGTGCGAGAGCAGTCTCTAACTTGTAGAACTCCTGCTTTTTGGTTTGCTGTAGTCAGTCAGTGGTTTAATGTGTGACAACAGAAACTGCTGCTTCCAGATACATTCCCTTCTGCTAGAATTAGCCAGAGAATAAATTTAAACTGTAGAAAAACTAATGTACGTGATCCCTGTGTGCAATGGCCAGTTTCATTTTTAACATTCTGATAGAAACGCAATTTGTGTCATTAAGGCTGATGCAATTTTGAAATTAATGTTATTTATCAGTTGCATGTATTATTCAGAAGTCATGGTAAGAAAATAATGTTGTTGCAGTAATTTTACAATTAAATTCTTCTACAGTACTTTGGAAAGTCACTCTCTCCAAATAAAAAATAGTTGTGTAGTAGATGAATTAACAAATTTCTGGTTTTGGCAAGGACTCTGTTTGTACCTGTGTTTGGCTACCAGGTGAATCACTTTCTCTTTGGCCTCTGCTGTGGCCTGAGCCAGAAGGGCTGAGAATTGAAGTTAAGGGCCTGTGTAGAAAGTCTGTGTATGGTGTTCAGTAGCTGTCAAATGCTTAGAACCACTTTTGTGTTAACACCAGGCTTTTCACACCAAATGGAGTGAATGAAAAGAAGTCAGATGTGAGGTAAGGGTTGTCATGAATAATACATGGCATGGAAGTTGATCAGAATGAGACATAAAATAGAGGTAAGGCGGGTTAGATTTGAATCATAGAATCATAGAATGGTTTGGATTGGAAGGGACCTTAAAGCTCATCCAGTTCCAACCCCCCTGCCAGCAGCAGGGACACCTTCCACTAGACCAGGTTGCTCAAAGCCTCATCCAGCCTGGCCTTCAACACTTCCAGGGAGGAGCAGCCACAGCTTCTCTGGCCAACCTGTTCCAGTGTCTCACCACCCTCACAGTGAAGAACTTCTTCCTAATATCTCATCTAAACCTCCCCTCTTTCAGCTTAAACCCATTTCCCCTTGTTTTGTCATTAACTGCCCTTATGAAAAGTCCCTCCCCAGCTTTCTTGTAGCCCCTTCAGGTACTGGGAGGCCGCTATAAGATCTCCCCAGAGCCTTCTCTTCTCCAGGCTGAACAGCCCCAACTCTCTCTGCCTGTCCTCATAGGAGAGGTGTTCCAGCCCTCGTATCATCCTGGTGGCCTCCTCTGGACTTGTTCCAGCTGCTCCAGGTCTCTCTTGTGATGGGGGCTCCAGAACTGAACGCAGTATTCCAGGTGGGGCCTTGCGAGAGCAGGTTAGATTTGAGTGGGTGTTCAGCATCAATATGGGGCATACACTAGAACCACTGTGCATGAAGGGACTTAACTTTACTGCCTTGCCAACCAGAGCCTAGAGGAATTCAGCAACTAAGCATCAACTTGTAATTCAGCAACTAATAATTAACTTGCAACTAAATGTAGTGCCAGCAACATTTCTGGAGTATTCCCGGTAGGTTTATGAAACTGCTAAACTTCTTCACTGCTGCTGAATACCAGCATACATGAACTGACCTGAACTCCTTAATAAACAGAAGTTTCAAGAAAGTTGCATAGTTTTTCCACAGTAATATTAACTGTAATGATTTGATGGCATTAAAGTTTTGGTAAGCTAATAAAAATGTTGATGTCTATTTGTAGGCTGAGTTACCTCTGTCACCGTAAGAGACTGAGGGCTGTAATTCGCGGGGATCTGCTGCCCTCAGCAGAGATGATCACAGTCTTGAGTCACAAGTATGGAGTTCCCTTAGCTGCAGAGGATCTCTTCACTCAGAAACCTGCTTTAATCTCCTGTTCCTTTGATGATTATACAGTACCAGGAGAAGTTAGCAGAGTGAAACAGGCATATTCTTCATTAGATAACTACAATAAAATGTATGTGCAGCAGAAGAAAGAAATAGCAAAGAAAATACCTTTTGAGAGAAACTATATTTGGGTGAGTAGTCTGTGATATGCGAGAGGCAAGCCTAGTAGATGCAAAACTTCCTGTCCTTAATCAACACCTCCCTCTCCTGAAACAGCGACTCAGTGAACTTAAAAACTTCTGGTAAAGTGTTTGTAGGAATTGTACAAACACTGTAAAAAAGTGCAGAGTAATTTTATTTTGCAAAAGTTGAATTGCAAATGTAATGACTTCTCCAAGGGAAAAACAGTTCTAGTGCTTACAGGTAAACTCAGGGGGGACGTTGTGTGAGTGGTGAGGAGACTGATTATTTAAAGGGCTTTTTGGGTTTGGTTCCTATTTTTCTTTGTCTCCTTCTTCTCCATAGTTCCCCCGTTGTGCTTTAGCATGTCATCCAGGCTTCAGATGCTCGTGGGGAGCCAAGCCAGCTAAGCTCATGTGATCTTCTCTTGCTGTGTGAAAGACCTGCTTGCCTTTGGGCAAGCAGAATGGCATTTATTCTTAACTCAATAAAGTCAGCAGTTCCAGAGAGAGGTGAGCTGAGCTTTGAGGAAATGGTGAAGAATTTTAGAACCTCTTCTGGCATGTTACCAGCGTCCATCTGATGCCTCAGGGAAAGTGTGTTGAAACTAATCTCTTTCTCGTTAATATAGACATCACAGAAGGGGTATCCCTCATTTCCTGGGAGTCTGAATTGGTTTTTGGAGTATCTTGCTTAGGTGAGGACTCTCAGCATCTCTTGGTTTGTGAAGAGTAGTTCTGAGTGTTTTTTCCTGTATATATTTTAATACAAAGATCTTTTGCATGATGTAGAAATCTATGTTCTTGTGTAAGGGAGATACTGCAAGTCTTGCAGATACTGCAAGAAATTTAACTCCCAAGTATTTCCTTTTTCAGTCTTAGTCTGTTGATAAAGGAGCATTGCATGAGGCTGGAAAAGGAGACAATCTGAAGCAATTGTGCCTGGTACTTGTGTTTATAACATCATAGGAGGATGAGAGCAGCAGAGCTCTTGGGCCTAGTCCTTCTGTATAGATTTAAGTGCAGAGTTATTCTGTTATTTGTATAAAGTTAGCAGTCTCCCCAGTATATGTGTTTTAACCAGTTTTCATTTCATACGTGCTTGTGAATCAAGAGGATAATAGAGGAACTGGGAAGTCCTCTAGAGAAAAGAAAATATGCAATTGTTTTTTAATAGCAGGTAAAGTAACCTTTCAGGCTTTTTGATTTAAAAAAGAAAAATAAAAAAAAGAAGGCAAGTGGATGTCACAAGGGAAGTGACATCCAAAATGCAATGTTACTCTCTTGCTGTAATTACTGTTGTGGCAGAGTCTGAATTCAAAGCCATAATTACCATGAACACTGTAGAATGACATTCTTAAGTCAATGAGGAAGGTGTGAGGGTTTAATTATACTGTGTCAGTGGAGACATTTGAAGAGTCCTAATGAATGGTGTTTCCCATGTCACTGTATTTGCTGGGGTGTTAATGGAATCGAATAAATTAAAAGAACTAATCTTATTTAGCTTGAGGACAATCAGCATCAGCTCTCCAGAACAGACTGTTTAGCTCAGTAAGTAGAAGTCCTTCTCTGGTGAGTGCTTGCCTCCACTCTGCTGCCATTAGCCTTGCAGAATGTCATGTGCAAGGCTGAAATGGTGGGGGTTGTTTAATAGAATCTTCTGTGGAGTATTTTGTTAACAAAAAGCTGTTGTGTAATAAATCTAGATATAGATTATTTGTTTGTTTCTTTTGTTAAAGTTGGGGTTTTTAATGTTTACAGAGTCATTGCTTGTTTATAATTTGTTTGTAACACTCTGAATTCCCAGGTCAGACAGAACTCAGATTTAATCTCTTTGCAGGCTAACATGGGTGCTGTATGCCGACTCAAAGGGAAAATGAAAAAGCCAAAGTTTGAAACTTTCAGGATTTCTCCTGCTGATGGCAAACCTGTCTTTAACTACAGCTCTCAGAGCCTGAATGCTGCAGAACTTGCAAAGAAGCATCTTCGCCAGGAAATGGCAAAGGTAAAATGAGACACGTAAGCGGAAGATCTTTGCTTGCTGTATGTAGTGCTGGAAAGAGAGATGAATTAAAGAGGTTTACACTTGTAACTCCTGTGTTAGTGAGTAGGAAGGGAAGTTGGTATCCAAAAAGATGTCTGAGAGGTACTCTGGTGTAAAAGTCTGCTCATAATGCTGTTCATTAGAGTGAAGTTGTCTTGTCTCCGTGACGTGGGCTGTCATTTTGACCGTGGACTTGGATAACCTGGGTGGTCACCTCCATTTCTGAACCCTACACATTTATAAGTGGGAGAATTCCAGTAATCACAGTGTTGGCATATGCACTATTAAGTGATTTGAAGAACTCATTTAAAAACATTAAAATGTGAAGAATTACATTTATCTGCTTTTGTCTGGATGGCTGGCTTGAATCTTAATAATAAATGCTATTTTCCTATCAGCTGGTGGAAAATAGTACAGCTCTGTGAGAACTGTTCATCATAGGAACAGTTCTCCTTTTGCACAAATAATATTAAAGATATTTCTTTCTGTAAATATTTTACAGAGATCCCATTATACCACTTGTCATTAAATCCATTGTTGACTCATAATAGAATGAAATTTAAAATCATTTTTTAATATTTAATGATATATATTTTGTATAATTTTGATCTATGATTACTTGCAGTTTTAAGGAAAGAAATGATACTGGTTCTGTGCTGTATAGGCTCCTGTCCCAGCAAAGGGGAATGCACCTTAACCAAAAAAATATCTTTTTTTTTTGGTAGGAACCAAAGAAGAGATTCACTTATTGCCATGAGTACCTCTCAGCCACGTTTGACCCATTGGATGTGGTTGCTGCCCATAAGGAATCCTTTGCAAAATCCAAGAGCATGTGGCTGTCACCAGATGGATTTGTGTTTCCTGGGTTTAAGAGCAGCATTGAGAGCAACCTGCACCCTCGCATGCCTGATGAGGCTCGTCGGGAGGAGTTACGTGAGGTAACAGAAAACTGAAATGAATGGTCCAAAGTGGGCTGAAGCATTTTGGGAGACTTGAGAGAGGCAGAGTGCTTCAGCACATGGAAGTCTCTTTTGGGGATACAGCCTAGGCAGCACTTTGGGGGTGACACCTTTATGTGCAATTTAGGTACATCGGGATCTAGCTCATCCAGGTGATAATTTGTTTGGATATGTAAATTCTACCCTGAACGCATACAGAAAACCCGTCTGCCGATATTATTTGGTAATTAATAGGTGTTATGGACTGAAGGGTGCTTTGCTTTACATTTACAAAAGGGCTCTAGTGTCAGAAAAATCAGAATGGTGCATTCCATGGTTAATGAGTTCTGGGCTGTTCTTCCCGAGTTTCCAATGTAGCCTTCCTTCATGTTTCCAAATTCCCTCACTGGTTCTTTTCCCCCCATCTTTTATTTATGGTTTGTAGTTACAGTTTTGTGGTGTGTTTATCCTCCACCGCTGTGTTCTCTACTGGTTTCTTCCTGCCCTGTGTCCTCTCTCCCTTCTCCTTTTCTTTACTATTTAGCTTCTATTTTTCTGCCATTTTACTGGATCATCAACTTGACTAGTTTACAGATCCCTGTTTTGAACAGTCTCAGTGTCCTGTACACTCAAGCACATGTGGTCTGCTGTTAGGAAGAAATTTGGGATGTTATTAGAATTGGCAAGATGAGGAAATAAAGGGAATAGAACTGGGGGGTTTTTTTGTGCAGGATCAGTGAATTCTACCAAATTAACTGAACGCAGTCGCAGCACAGAGTGGAACATGCTGAAAGCTTGGAGACTTGGTGTCCTGTCTTGCAAGAATGTGTACATGTTCTTTTCCTTTTCAGGCTTTATTTATCTTACCTTTTTTTTTAATACAAATTAAAGTAGTTTCTCAAAAAGGTTTGCAGTATAGCTGAAGGGAAATGGTCAGTGAAAACAAAGTGCTTTTTTCTGATCCATGATGCTGGAGAATGTATCTTCTCATGAAGGAGCAGAGAAGATTCACTGGCCAAGAGTAACAGACGCCAGCCAGTTCGGTGTAATTGTCGGTGCCTCCTGACAAAGAAATAACAAGAGGAGGGGAACCAGGCAGTGCAGGATCAAAACCTGACACACTGAGTTACTGAACTGAACTAAACAGGGGACTGTGATATGTGGTGTGGGAGTAGCAGTTGATGAGTATGTTGTATTGACCATTGGCACCTGCTGATGGGACGAGAGAGGGGAAGAGAGCTGAGGTCTTACCCTGACCTATGCTAAGTGTAGCCTGGCAGTACCAGTAGCTGGGTAGCATCAGTGCCAGCCGTGGAGCTGAGAGAAAAGAGGAGGGAGGTTCCTTCTGCTTGAGCAGCGACCTCACAGGCATGACCAACATTATACTGGACAATGGAGGTTGATTTAGCTTACCATTCATGATACCTGAAAGGTGGAACCAAAGGAGAAAACTATTGTATCCCATTCTGGAGTAGTCTGGGTTTGATACATTGCTGCTTTAACCATTTCTGGTTTTCTTCTTAAACACAGAATTTGACCATCTTTTGTAACAACATCCCTTGGGAGGCAAAAAAGTTTTTGGAGTTGTTCCTAAAACATCTCCATAGAGTTTCTGCACTGACTCAGCCATCCTTTACTTTCACAATTTTACCAAAAACTACCAACAGGCAGTGGGAGTTAATTTGTAGCTTAGGAAGGAGAGTTTTGTCTGAAAAAATCTAACTGGTATTTTCAGCAGTGAGTAGTTAGAGGACCACAAAAAATTGAACTCTGTTTCCCAATTGTGATGATGAATATTCCTGCCATGATTCTAGCGTGGATGCTGCTTCTCTCACCTGCTTCCCCTGGACACCTGGGCTCTTGGCCCCAGGAGTTTTAAGACTAATGATTGTATTTTTAGAAGCACCAGGACAGCTTCTGCTTTCTAAAAGCACTATCCTTTAAGATTATCCTTGAGATGATATATAGCTCTTGCTGTTCTGGCAGTCCTGTACAGCCAGCTCACTTCTTACCGCTGGGAAAAGATAAAGAACTAGTGAGATTGTGGAGTGGGTCTGTCCTCTCACAGTCTCATTGTCACATGGACAAGAGGGATGGTCCACGTTTGCCTGTGAGTTTAGCAGCTGTGTATGAAATACAGGCAAGTGTATCAGACCCTTTATGTCACTGCAGAGAAATGTGACACACTATGAAATCGCATCCCCCGCCAGGTTATTTCTCAGGTACGCTGGGAGCTCTGGCAGGTTAGATAACAGCTCAGTACTAGAGCAGCTTGCTCAGGAAATGGATTTTATTCTTATTCATGTGTATCAAACATAGCAAATTGAAAGGCTGCTTACAGAGAGAAATAGTCTCATGTGGTGAAGTTTGGGCTTTGGTGAGATGCTATTATGGTAGTTGCTAGGTCGCTACCCAGTCATCTGGCTGACATTTTTTGTGACTCCTCCTTAATGATTTTGGCCTGGCTTCTTAAAGAGATCCAATTTTCATTTAGAAATGGCAGGAGAATGCTCTGCATGCTAACATGGAGCCAATGCTGTCACGAGGCAGATGGAGCTGGGACAAACGACACATTGATTTTGATCTTTACAAGAAGCCACCTGAGCTCTTCAGGACAACAGCCCCACAGACTGGTAATGGATCTGTTGAAATTAACTAATCACAAAGCTTTTAACTTGAAACTCTGACATATGGTCCTGAAGCTTGTCCGGTTCTGCCATCAAGGAGAGCAGGTGGATGTGAAGAGGTTTAGCAAGTTCATCTGTGAGGCATCTTAGGATGTAAGCCCTTGGCCATACTCCAGTTTTACCCCTCCGTTTACGCAGCTTCTTGGCCTTGTTTCCTTTATCTGTAGTTAAATAGGGCCAGGGACAGAGTGATCCTTCTTGGCTGCTTCTTCTGCAAAGCCAGCTCTGTTGGCTGCCTGACGCTCCTTTATACAGACTGATGACAATCAGCTTTTGTTGTTGCCAGGTCAGACAGAAAGTTACGTCACGGGCTGTGAGCAGCACCAGGTAACGGGCCCAGAGTGGGGCTGGGATGAGCCAGTGAAGTGTGCACGCTGTCACAGCTGCCCGCAGCGTGCCTTGGTGTGGTGGTCAGTGTGTTACCTCATTTCTCACATAAACAATAAAAGATGATGAAATGGGATTTTGAAAAGTTTGCCATGTGTTTCTTTTTGTCCAGAATTATCTGAGATTCACTGGAATGTTTACAAGCAGAAAATAATAGATATGTAGTGATTGCTAGAATCTTCCATCTTTTAACATCTTTTCAGCTGCACATTACCCTGTAACTTACAAAACTCCTAGTGCAGGTCTTCTCAAACGCTTCTTAGAGAAATGCTTTTGGAAGCAGTTGCTTGGTTCTGCTTTTATGTTTGTTCTCTGGAGCCTACAGGACAGTGGGTTGTCTTTGTGGCCGTTGCTCCAACACCTGTATCGTTTGTTCTGGTTGAGTCCTTGGGTGAGTGGTTGGCTGGTTGCAACAGAGGCTTTTAACCTATTTTTTTTCAGTTCAAACAGCCAAAACTTCCATCTCACTGCTTTTATTGCCTGGTTTTTCTGTTGATTGCCTTGTGAAGATGCTACTCGGATTCTGCAAGCTCCAGTTGATGATACCAAGCTGAAAGCTGACCCGTGCTCCACAGCCCCTGAGTTATCCATGCATGGGCCAGGAGCCAGGCTTCAGCTGCAGAAGGTCCAAGGACTTCTGAAAGATGAACCCCTGAAATCCTCCCTCGGGAAGGCGGGACCAGTTGTGAAGGTAACAGGCAACTTGACTCTCTGGGTGCTGACCCTGGCACCTGCCTGTGTGCAGCGACAGCTGTCCTGTGCTTTGTGGAAGGCAGATAACGTGCAATGCTCTTAATTTAGCACAATACTGTTGGAAGTAAAAATAGTCATTGCAGTTGTTGTTGATAGCACTGGTTGACTCAATCTTACAAAGCTCTTCGAAAAACATACCGGCCAGGGCTGATTTTTTAATATTTTTTTTTTAATTCTTTGCTTCAATGCTCAGAGATAATGGGGAGAATTTCTATTCAATTAGCTAACTTGCTTGTCAGCATGTAGTGGATGAGAAAAGAAGAACAATTTCTGACCAGCTGGCTTAGCAGCTCTGAAAGAAATTGTAATGTCCCCTAATGAAATGTAGGGGTCGAGGCCCTTCTATAGCCTGGATGCCAAATGTCTGGCCATGTGTTCTCTTGGTCACCATAGAGATCTATGGTGTAGATCTATACAGACTTCCTGAGCCCCAGCGTTGTGCTTCAGCCCCTTGGTGCAAAAATCCCACACAGCCAGCCCAGTTTGGGAGGCTGAAGGGTTTGTGCTCATGAATATGAAAAGCTGTATGGGTGGCCTGCACCAAACTGGTCTTTTGTTGGCTGAATCGTAGTCAGCGCTTGCATGGAACTGACTGACCCAAACCCTGAGCGTGCTTCTAAAGCTGCTTTTGATCAAAGGGACCGAAGCTCGCTGTGGGCTACAAATGCTCTGGCAAAACAAACACAGGAACTAGGAGAATGGTGGTAACAAAAGCAGAGTTAAACCTTTGAGCCCAACTCACTGTCACCCCCCTTCTTCTTTCTTTTTAATATTCTGTGTGCCAGGCCTTGTGTTAAATGGACACTCAGCCACAAGCTGCCCGGCCTCCTCCTTTTACCATGTCAGGCTTTGAACCGAGTCCCTTTGTGCTCTCTGTGCTTGGCCTTCTGTTGTGATTTGGCTGTTCAAACTATGAAATGTCCATCTTGGACACTTTGCCTGTTTCCTATAATTCTAATATTCCTACAATTCCTGTAATTCCTATAATTCCAATTCCTTTTTTGCTAGATGGCTTATAAATACTCTGGTTTATTAGATAATGTGCAGCTTGCACTTCATGACATCTACTTACAGCAGTCAGATGGGACTCTCAGATCCCAAGTTTCTTGAATACATTTGTCAACCCTTCCAGCTATAGCCCATAGGAAGACATTCCTGTCTTGTCTCCCAAAATTGGCTACTCCTTTGTAAACATATCCCTTTAAAAAGGAGAGATGTGCATTAACTTCCAAGGGTCTGAAAGGGGAAAAAAAGAAAAAAAAAAAGAAAAAAAAGAAAAAAGAAAAAAAGAAAAAAAAAGAAAAAAAAAAAAGAAAAAAAAGATGTATTTTTTCCTTGTTGTTTCTAATAATTTCCAAACGAGTCTCCTTTTCCAGTACAGTGTTTTTCCTCTGACAGAAGAAGAAAGAAAACATCCTTGCTGGATGATGGAACGTGGAATTTAAACACAATGGATATAGTAAAGCTAAACATACAGAGTTACATTACCACAGCATCATTTATTTCTGCTTATTTTAATGTAAGGGTGTTTTCAGAATGGTGACCACAGTATCTCAGCTCCCTGAGCTCCATTAGTGCCATTGCCATCTATTATCTGCTCATCCTTACACTGTTGTGGTTTCTACTGATCTGTCTCTACAGTCACCTCCTCCTTCACCTGATAATTATTATTTTTTTAATCTTCTTTCCTGTAGCAGCTTAGAGCTGGTTGCCACGTGCTGCAGGTTTTCCTTGATGCTCTATGAGTGGTGTTGGTCCCCTCCCTGCCTTCCTGCCTCGGGATTCCTGCTCTCTGATGAGTGCTCGTTTCTGGTGTTGCTGGAACCCAGCAGGATGGCTCAGCCTGTCCCTCGTGGTGGGTGCTCCCACCGCCCTTCCCAAGCTGTCACCGCTGAGCCTGAGGGGTGGTCTGGCCCCTCCCAGCTGCTAACACAGGCTGGGCCCTGCGCTTGTGTCTAGTGGGAGCCAGCCTTTTCCCAGGCACAGGCTTTGTCTCTCTGACAGGACTTACTTTTTGCTATAAAAGTACATATGCACTTAAAAAAAAATAAATGAATCATGTACCTGCTTTAAATGCTGAACTGTCTCAAACCACCTGCTTTGTGTACTTCTGAGTGTCATCTCACCCCCTGTGGTACATATGCTCACTGCTCATGTTCAGATCGTGCTTCTCGGTGTATTTAGCCTCCCAGATCTTGTCTGGCACAGCTCTTTGATTACTGGGACAGTGTCTGCTAGTTATTCCTACTCCCTGTTCGTTAGGCAAGCAGAGCACCTGAGGGCTGCATGACATCTCTGTGGACACCAAGCTGGTGCTTCACCTTTACTGACTCACCTGGCAGTGGTGGTTTTTTGGGTTTTTTTCCTCTTAACAACAGGAATCCGCTTGTGATTTGTGTCTTTGTGCTTCTGAAGCACAAAAGTGGCACACATATAATAATGGCACTTTTTTTTGTTTAAAGTGATCTCAAAGACGGGCTTATAAGACCGCAGGAGTTTGAGCAACGTGTGCTTCAGCTCTGCACATTTCCAACCTTGTACTTTGCCTGTGAGGTACATGCTCTGGGGCTTATCTATACAATAGTATATGAAGGTGCAACAGTTTTCATTTTCTTGTCCATGTTTCAGGGGATCTACACATTTAACAACTGACTCACCTTGGGGCTCAATGCTCCCAAAATGTCCTGGTCCTGTGTAGGCAGATGTTCCTCACCTCTTTTTTCTTCTTTTCCCTGAAAGCCTGGCCCAGCCCTGTCTGCACTGGACAACCAGCCCTGTGGCACCAGTTCGGATCCCCTCCCAGGGATGGGGACAGGTGTCACCAGTGGCTTTACACCAGCTCCTGATGACCAGTACAGCTTGATGTCACACAAGGATGTTATCTCCAGCACAGCAGAGAGTTTGAAAGACCCGAAGGTGCAGATTTCAAGTAAGACAACCTAATGGCTAGAAACAGCAAAAGTGGGCCCCACGCATTTTATATGGTGTGTGTCTAGGAGTTATGGTGCACAGAAAGTAAAATAATAATTAGGATTTATGGTGTCCAGACAGTAAAATAATAATTAGGAGTTACAGTGTACAGAGAGTAAAATAATAATTTCTAAGTTGATAAACTGAATTCTCTGTGTGTATCCCAAAGAAACAAACCAATTATATTGGACCACTTGGCGTTCTTGGGAGGTCTCCCTTTCAAGTCCAGACTCCAGAATGAAGGGTCTGGGTTCGCCACTGGTAAACGTTGGCCCTGGGTATCCCCGTGTGTGACCTACATGTTCACTGAGCTTTCTACGGTGCCACCACAGCCACCGACATGGCAGCCCTGTGCCCGGCCTTACGCTGGGGAACGTAGGCTGCAGCGTTCCTCACCTAAGGAACATACATCTAAATTCTTGAAGAGCAATTTTTACCTTTCCAGTTTAATTCAGCTGCTAGAAATTTGAAGAAGTGTCATGTTATTTGAAGTTACTTTCTAAATCAGACTGTGGACAGCAGATCTTGCAGTAACAGGAAACCTGTGTTTACTGCTTCGATAACATACGGAGCAGCGTGAAGTGGTTTAATTGCTATTTTGTTCTTTATTGTTTAATTGCTATTGTGTTCTTTATTTATGAGTTCTGGCTTTTGTTTTGCTCTCATGCCATCACACTAAGATACTGCTTCACTTTAATTATTCAGTTCTTACAGAAATCTAATCCTTCAGAATCCCACACCAGATACAAATCATGCTTCACATTGGAGTGTCAACTCGTGACGTGGCCCTTCATTAGCTCCTGTGTTGACTCTGGTATTTTACGAGGTTAAACACCAGATTTGACATTTCATAGCTGGTCTCAGCCTTCCAAAGGCAAGGCAGAGCAGCACCTCTAAGAGAAAAGGGTGTTAGCCCACAGGATCAGTCTGTGATCGCTGACTCGGAACTACTGAGCGCGCCTTGAGAGGAGGAGGAGCCGCTCCCGGAGCGCGGGGAGGCTGTGGAGGTGACACCGAGTCCCGGCAGGAGCGGGGCTGACACGGCAGGGGATGGTGCCAGGGACACCTGCGGGAGATTTAAATGGCCCCAGGGAGCGCGGCGACCAGGGCCTGGCGCGGCAGTTCGCGCAGGGCAGGGTGAAGGGCAGCTCCCTGTAGCTCTGCT